ACCTGTACTGTAAAGTCATTTTTCTTTGCTTAAAATATGCCACAGTGTGGAGAGCAGAGCAATGCATCTCACAAACGTTATTGCAAGCTCACAGGCTATGGTTACCAAAGGATTCTGAATCAAAAATCCAGAAATCAGTGATGCTTGGCCAATTTGTGTTCCTTTGCCTGGTAAATCACTGCCACAGGTGTCTAATGACATACCTCAAATCTGAGTGAGTGACACCCGGAACACTGTCAGCCTGCGCTATTGAAGTGTGCACCTTCACAGGCTCAGGTTATTGAGAGCTCCATAGTACACCTTTTCAGAGTCTCCAGAAATAAGACATTTTGTGAATCACTCACAGTCCAACAATAGCACATTGCTGAGATTATTGTGTATTATGAGGGATGTCGAGTCAGTGTTCAGCACACCTTAGTCTTCATAAAAGCTCATAAGAGATTGCTAAAGATAATGTACACCCAGGTTGTGTGTCATTATAAGCCTTCTTTGACTGAAACAGGACATCCTGCTGAGATGTGTGACTGGATTCTGTTCTTGGTTTCCAAAAAACATTATATTGCTTGCATAAAAATTATTCAATGCAGACTTATATCTGTGCATGAGTAGTGGACTGAACACATTTTTGTGACTCACATTACAAGATGAACATCTACTTTCTAGAACCTTTGAGGATGGTTTTCATTTCTTGGAACAACAAACATTTCTAAACTGGAAAGTCAATAAACAACTCCAGTAATCCCACAGCAACTGCATTTATCATTAAAAAAATACCTTCACACTTTTTGTCTCAGTTCAGCCAAAAAAAACATCATTTATGCAAAGCCTTATTAAGAATGTCCCTAATTATTAAAGATTTTTTTCATAGGTTTTGTTTAATTTTTTAGTTTTTATATGCATATCTCAGATTTTCAAACCTTTACAATGAAAAATGTTCCTATTTACATAACATACTGAGCATGGTGGAAATATTTTGAATGAAACATTCACAATGAATGATTAATAATATTGTGAACCCTAAAGATTAAATATATTGCTGCATTTTTTATATTCAAGATATATTGAGATGTAAGATATATTAAAGATATATTGTTGTAACACTTTATAACCAATGCTAAGCAACCAATAATTAGAACAAACTTTAATTCACACTTCAGCTGGAATTTACTTGTATGTTTTTATTCTGATGTGAGTTTACTTTATATCTGACATTATTTTGATGCAGAAAACATCTTAAGTTTTAGAAAATTAGGACAGACATTTTGGTGTGTTATGCCATTGCTACTGAAACTGTTATAGTTTGCAATTTCATGTATATCAAGACTGAGAAAGACAAAGCTTAGTTAAAGTCTTAAAAAATGTTTTGCTTTGTTGTATCCAACCTGACAGTCGCAAAGCCTTAAGATTTAAAAGCATTTCTTTGTGGGTAAGTTCTGTTTAGTCAGGACTGAATAGGATGATCTATGAGATTGTGTTGCAGTTTTGTAGCTTTGTAAGGATCTCTGATACAGTTGGCTAGTCCTTGAAAACATTATTTAAGGAATAAGCTTTCCTCTGAAGATGCTCACAATCTCTTTGCCTTTCTGAGTTTGGTATAATTTGAGCTGGTTTTAGCAAATACACCCAATATCCCCAAATCATGGAAAATAATGTAACTTTCAGTTTGCACTTATCTGCAATTTAAGGTTAACCCTCTACGATTAACCTGCACTTAATATATCTCAATTGTGTGCAAGTACTACAAGGAATCTTCAAAAACACAGAAAGAGTAGATTAAACCTCCCATTTGGCTTGTTTTTAGTTTCCATGGTTGTTTTCAATTTTTTTCCACAGTTTATGGTATCATTGAAAATTAGCAGAAAAGGCCACACACATGCTGTTAAATGTTTCCCAGTGGTTCCAAGAATTGTTTGGAAACCCAGTGTAAAGTTGTACAAAATGCATAATCCTGCACATACAATTAGTTCTCTTTCTAAAGCCTTATTTACAAAAATGATTTAAAATATTACTAACAAGGTCTTCCTTGAGGCTCAGGGATCTTTTCATCTATACAGTATGTTGGCTGCATGCTAAACAAAAAGAAAGGTTTCTGAGAAGAAATAGTTGTGTTAAAAGTCTTTCATGGATCACCAGCTTCAGCTGGCCAGTTCTCAGATCAAACCTGCAAATCCTTTGTTGCATCTTGTGGTTGTTTCCTGTGAAACTCCAGTGGTGGCGTTCCAGCTGCCAGAGAGCATGACAGCATCTGTGTCACCCACTGAGGTGAGGCCTGTCATTGTGCGAGACTAGGGGTACCGGATACAGCATGATACCCATGATATGGATGGTTCTTTCAGACTCCTACCTGGTTTTCCATCTATCAAAAAGGTTTGAGGGTTTGTTTCCAAATTTCTGTTTCCAGCACAAAGTGGCCATTCTGCTGACTTGTCCACAACCTTCCATTAATTAATCTTTCATCTGTTTTTAAGCTACGTGAGTACAGTCAATTGCACCACTCCATCAGGGAGATTTCCTTCAGACTTTTACAATTCCAGGGTTTGCCAGGTACACTACCACAGTTCTTTTTAACCTCCTGGTCATGTCATGGCCTAGGGTCTGAAGTTCCCTCTGTCTAGTGCTCATGTAATTATTCACTAACATCTGCATGACCTGCTTGAAGTGGCTTTTTTAGTTAAAATGGGACACCTTTGGTTCATTTTAGCCAATTCAGTGCAAGGTTGTTTGTGTAATGTACTACTGCAGTGAGGAATGACAGACCTAGGTACAGTATATATGTGACACTTGTAAGTTTAAATGTCTCACCTGTGGGAACTGAATTTTAAGAAGACATGCACCACACACAATTATTTTGCTGATGATGTCTTTCACACCAACTGATCCCTTTTTCCCATGATTTCACAGCTGTCTCAGCTGAAACACTGACCATACTGCTCTGATGTTGGGAAGAAACATTCTTCTAATTCCAGGTTTAGGCTGTTAATTTTACAGGGATTGTTGTGTGATGTGCTGGTTTTGTAATAGTGAAAGCAAGCAGGTGTCTATACTGTATTCATCTCTATGTGAATGTTCTCTTAACAGTGAAATGGAGCAGCTTTTAAGGCTCCGTCCTGGCATAAAACAATCATTTTAACCTCTCTGACTTTGTGCCAGAGCAGTACAGTGGAGCAGTGATTAGCATTGCTGCCTCATAGCGCTTAGGCCCTGGGATCAATTACTGAGGTTCTATCTGTATGGAGTTTGTATGTTCTCACTTAGCCTGCATGGGTTTCCTCCCACAGTCCAAAAACATACTGGTTGGTTTATACACTGCTGTGAAAACTGGCCCTGTTGTGAGTGTGTGTGTGTCTGTGTCTTTGTGTGGCCTTTGGTGGACAGGTGCCCCGTCCAGGGTACATCCTGCCTTGCACCTGTTGCTTGCTGGGATAGACTTCGGCTCCCCCACAATCTTGTAGTGCATCAAGCAGTTAGAAAAAAGATGGACTTTGTGCCACCTACAATCAACACAGACCCAGTTTGAAGCCAAAATTTGAGTTTGCATTCCAAACTTCTGAAATTGATTGATTGCTTGCTGACAGCAACACATCGCCCAAATCAAGACAGAAAGTTCTTTCCACCCCACTTTTCATACGGTCTGACAGTTCTCCTCCTGAGTGGGCGGGGGGGAGAGGGTCACACTCAAACTCCTCCAAGCGCTGCTGAGGAAGGCAGTGGGACATTAGGGAATGACTGCAGCTCAAAACTCTCTCAACTCCATCGATCAGCGCAAGACACTTTTTTTAGCCTCTGGATTAATTAACCTAATGTACAAGAATGACAAATTCGTTCAGTACAATATCAATTTGTGAAAAACATTTTATTCACAGATTGAGCAATAAAATAAGATTATTTTGACCTGCATTAATTTCCCCCCTCTGTTAAAAACAATTTGAATCAGAGGACAGGCAGTGCTGCACCGATTTGCCAATGCTGACGTAATGTTTCCTCTTTAAGGAGGAAATACAGCCTGTGACAGGGTGTCATCTATCTTCAGATCTGCTAGCCTGAGTGACTTCACTGCTAATTGTATTAAACAGCCAGGTGGTGTTTAAAGTAGAGAAGTTTTATGAGGTTTCTAAGTCAAGGTCAGGAGTCTAGCAGAAAGACATATCCAAGTTGTTTTTTTAACGATAGTGCGTGCATTTCCTTATTCAATTTGGAGTCCTGAATTCCAAATTAAAAGTGCCTCACTTCTCTGACGATCACTGTGACCATCTAGTATTGCCAAACTGCTGAATACATCATGCTGAGGTGTCAGCTTGGTAGGTCTCCTGCCCCGGCTCTCTTGACTGCTGTTGCTCGGAGAGAGTAGCTCAAGCTGTTGCTCTCCTGCAAGGCAACTGGATAACATATTCCGTCCGCCTTTTCCTCACAAATCACAGAGAATTTTTACAGTGCAGAAAACTTAAACAAAACGTTTTAATAGCCCAATCCCATTTGAGTGAAACGGTCAGTGCCCTAAAACGAACAGGTGACAATCAGAAAGGTACTTCTGTGAGATGTGCGCCGTGGATGTTTGAACGTTATACAAAACTCCTTCCATGCATAGCTAGAAAGTCGCTTATTCCTGGTTGCGCCATTCTACAAAACTAAAGTAAAACGTAAGGGGACATTATTTCGATCTCCCTGTATTTAAGGGTTTTGAACCGTGTGAAAACTGTAAAGCATTACAACAGAAATAACGTGAGCGGTCGTCTAAGATTTTTTTTCGTGATAACGAAGCAGAGGAGGAGGGAGGACTTTATTTCTCCCCAGGCGGCGAACGCGCTGGTTTAAATATATTTATATTCGAAAAAATCAAAGGGAGTGTCAAAACGTTGTGAGCGGTTTTACTAGCTCGGGGGTGAATAACCGTGCTTAACATCCTCTCCAGAGGACTTTAAAACTGCCCCGGACCTTGCTTGCCTTTGAAAATACATATCGCGTTTTCGTCGTGCGCTCTAAACCCGCCTTTATCTCCATACTTGAACATCCAAAACCTTCCCCCGTCTTCGTACCGCCCCTCCTAAATCCGACAGGAGTTACTAAACTCGACATTCAGTTTCACGTCTCGCACAGAGTCGCATCTCTTGGGGTATCAGTTACAACAACTTTCATGCACAGAGTAAACAACCCGGAGGAAAGATGGAAAAGGGAGCAAAGCCAACGAACGAAAGAGGAAGTTGAACAGGACCAGCAGCCCCGAGGATTAAGCGAAGTCTGACCCACGCTGTGCAGTTTGGAACTCATACACCACTATAATATAGTCCTGATAAGAGAAAGCTAAAAAAAAAAAAACACGAATAAAGAAACACGCTCCGGAATTCGAATCTGTGGAGAAGTGTCATTGAGACTGGGGTGCATTTAGCAACGCTTGTTATGAGGAGGTGAAGGGAACTGTCGCAGTTCGTAAAACGTCTGGTATTCACTCGAGAGACCCAGATGATGGATTAATTGAGTTGAAAAAAAGAGCGACTGATCTTCATCGCCTGTCTGCCCGCAGTCATCACTCAAAGTGCGAAAAAGACAACCAACCTAGCAGTGGATTTTACCTTTTCTAAGCAGTTTTCACCCACTCGAGATGACATCGGAGTATTTGCTAAGGTCTCTGCTGATGCTAATTCTAGCGCTGTTCTCCGCAAATGCTAGCAACTGGCTGTAAGTTCCTAAAGACGTTTTGATACTTATTCATCGTTTCCTTTTATTGTGCATTTGTCTTACCTTTTTTAGTGAATACATATGTCATTAATGTTGCCAACTATAGTTATGGTTTTGCTTTCCTATGAACGTGATAAAAAATAATTGCCCTTTTCATTGATTAACTCCGGAATCTGTACACAGTTCAATGTCGTGTGGTTTAACCTATATGATTTAGGGAGGTAATTTAATTAATTTTAGTCCGTATAATGCCGTGCACGCAATAAATAGTACATATTTGATATTATTCACGTTGAAACAGTCTGTTGCAGGATGTATCTGACGTTTAAGTAAATAGGTGACTTGGAATTTGTTTTGCACTGTAGAGTTCACCTTTAACGTGTGTCTGTATCTGAAGATTTTCTTTTCCAATTAACTTTAGAGGCTTTTCTTCCGATATCCGTAAAGATCTCATTTCAGATCTGCCTGTTGAAATGCTTCCTTTTCACGTGTGAGTGCGTGTCTGTTAAGGTTTGCGATGTTGCTGGGGGGTCTGCATATTTTAAAATTATTGCACAACGTTGGTGTTTATTTTCTTTACTTCCCACGGAGATAATACTTTATTGTTTTTGTTTTACTGTTTTACGAAATAACGATTTAGTCAACCAACAGGGAAAAGTGGGCTTATAGCTGGGAGAGTGCTGTGCAATTGATAGCTTTGGGAGAGTGACCGGTAATCTATTTTCTGACAGGTAGACAAATCGAGTTATGTCGTTAATTAATTTCGACTTGTGTCTGCTGCCACCAAATACATCATCAATACAATCGACAGTATATTTTAAAGTGAGTTAATATAATGTCGTCTTGGTGAAAAATATCCGGATTAGGGTTTTGAAAGATTGTTAAACTTTGTCTAAAGTAAAACAGTAATAGATGACCTTTTTATTTTTTTTTATCCAGTTCTTACTCTGATTGCCTATTAAGGTGTGGTGATAGGGGGCAGACGTGTAGAGACATGCTTCGCACCTGGGAAAAAATCTGAACTTTCAACTATGCTGCAAAATATGATTATTCTACCTCAGCGATGCGCCCGGTGCGTACTGTACTATCCGGCAAGACTCCCGTAATCAGCCATGAAGTTCATTATTTTATTACTACATCGCTTTTCTGCCTCTGGTGAGGATTAACCTCCCCGCAATGAGAGAGTTATTGTTAGTTAATAGCCGTATCGATGTTTTAAAAAGAGCAGTCTGTAAAGTACATATATTTTCGTACACTTTTGTTAAACGTCTTGTGGATTCTCAAATTGACAGCTACTTGTATGAGCTCTCTGATTAAAATAAAGACTATTTCAGTTTCAAGTTCATTTACATTCCATAACACGATTCTTTACAGATCCAGAAATAAAGGCGAACGACGCTAATATCAGCATTTACACCTGTGCACAGCTGACGCTAATTTTCGACTGACAGTTATACCTATCTGATGATGAAAAGGAGCTATCGTACTTCTTTTCGAGACCAATACGTGCAAAACCAGATTTTAACATGATGCTTTGTCTGAAGTTTTAAAGCCGTTTCGGATTTTACTGTACATTTTAAAACAAACCCTCAATTTAAATTGAAATCGAAAGGATGCATGCCTATGAATTACGCGGCCACCCGTCACGAATTCAATTAGATTAATACCCAACTGTTTGTTGTTCCACAATTTTCTTTTAAAAATGCGCACCTTGTTCTTAATATTCAAACAGTAAGGGAGATACATAATTGCTCTGACGCCTGGCCTCTGAGTGTTTGATTTCAGAGACTGACAGTGTTAATTAGGCCAATTTGCAATAGTCGCGTACCTGAGACGACGATTGATGTGGTATTTACAAAACATTTTTTAACTGATTTATGCATTTGTAAAAACAGCCTAAGTGATAGTTAAATGCTTACGAATAAGGTAAAATGGACATACATTTATATCTGTACTTAATCTTTCAAGATTATCAACAACGTCAAGTTTTAGTACTCCTGGGGAGTTTTCATTATCGCTGCTTTCTTACAAAGCTGGTTCGGTCGTAGATATGAACGCAGATGGTAACTTACAACTTTTGTTCCAATTTGACTTTCATTTCCAAATTAAACATTTAATACCTGCTGTGATAAATATCTCAGAAAATTCTCAAGCTTCCAGACTGTTTAGTACAACGCGCCCGGTGACTGTCGATGTAGATTAGCTAATCCTTACCTGCGCCTTTTCCTTAAACTGATTTGGAGAACTGATCGTTTTCAGGTTTTAAATAGAAAGCAGTATGTTAGTAATTATACCATGTTGTACGCATCTTACAATCGGTAACGTTTTAGGTACTGAAGATGATGCAAATCTTAATTGAGCATATTATTGGTGCAATTAGCGGTTTAATTAATAGCTGGCTCAGCTAGAAGGAAACCTAGCAGACACGCAGTCAAGGACTAGGACTTGAAAATTTAACTTGTAAATAAACCGTTTATTTTTATTTTTAATACTCAATATCCCTCTTTGTCCTTCAACCACTACAGTATCTCTAAATATGAACTTTATATACAGTACATTGTAAACGGACAAGGGTGGCTGCTAAGCAAATAAATAAGGCAGAAATTATCACTCGAACTATGAACTTTCTGTCGGTCAGACCCATTCTCTACAGAACTGTGAATCGAATCGAAGTAAATGTTGCATTTACTAACCGTTTTGTTCTTTTTGAGATCTGTCTAATAGCGGCATCTTTATCGTTTGATCAGTTATTATCAGCATCGAAACGCAAAACACTTTTCGACAATATTTAGGCTATTGTAAAACATCGTTAAAAGTGAGATTTAAAGTACCTGGTGGTTTTTTAAAGAAGACGGGCGTCACTGTTACAAAAAAAAGCATGTTAACTGAATTTAACCAGTCAATCGATTCATGTTCGCTAATTATACAGAAATAAAAAAACTCGAATTGTTAAGCATTATATAATCTATTGCAATACATCTGTTATAGTGACATTTTACTAGGTAGACGAATGCAGTGAGATATTATTAAAGCAAAGGTTATTCGACTAATTTTGAACTGTGGAAATTGGTTCCTTTATCGCCGACAAGGTTTTTAAATATTCCGCAGTTTCTGTAGCACATCAGATAAGTAAATAAGCAAACGATATAGTATCAGTAAATCTGATGTGATAACTAATGGGAAAAAAAACGTGTGAAAATGTTCTAATCGTCCTCTGCTAAGAAGGCTCAGCGGATACCAGCACAACATAATTATTATATATTGTTGCTTAGCTTTTACTGTACTATTACGTCACTGTAAACTCCGAGCATGATGTCATTAATTGTTAACCCCGTGGCTTTTGTTTCTAAACGTGAAATGATCTGAAGAATAAAACACCCACCAATAACGAACTGTCGACAACTGAAAGGCAAAAAACTACAGCTGAAGAAAGGAAATGTGATGTCATTATCGAGTTATAAAACAACTCTGTAGCTAGGTGACGTTATTTTTTTTTTAATTTCTCCTCTGCTACATTGAGTTTCCTCGTAGTATTATACCACGTGTTCAAATCAAGCTCTCAGGTAAATTCTTAGACTTAGCAAGCTTAGACGCCTTCAGCAAGTCGATAATAACAGGGTGCGGGAGCTCCTGTCCCTGCAGTTTTACCTCCGTTTGCGCAACTGACTTCGTTACAACAGATTACAAGGCCTGTTTGGGTGCATTTTGACTAATATTCATGCAGAAGCAATGATTCTCTGCTGATAATGCTGTTTTTTTAATGTTTAATGTTTTCATTTTTCCTAAAATTGCAAAGGGCGTTCAAGAGTTTGCCTCTAAATTTTAGTTTTATTTCCATTGCAGCTCGGCTACCTCTTCCATAAGGGGCGATTTAGAGAGCATGTTGAGCACTGTCGTTTTATCTTCACCGTGGGCGTCACACCCTGCTGTCGTGCTCTCAACACGAGTTCGCAGAGAAAGGTTTGCACGAGGCTGTCGGTGAGCTTGCATACAGTATCTGCTCAGCCTGGGCTCAGTGTATCCGATACTGTCGCTTTACACGTTGGGTGCCATGAGGCATTTGCGTAAAATCAGTTCTGTTATCAAGTCACCTTCCCGATATCCAGATCGCTGCAAGCCTAGGAAAGTATCTTGAACAGCAATCAAGATAAGATAATCAAATCAGAATAACATGCATGCCCGGAGGACTGTTTCTACGATAAAACAATGTACCGAACAGAAATTAATATGTGTAAGCATATTGAGTTAAAGAAAAAAAAAACATAAATACCATGAATGATTAGGAAATTTAAAAAGGATATTGAAAATTCTCCCTTTCCTTGATGTTAACCAAAAGCCAGGTTGAACTTCAAGCTTTAATTATTTGAGAATCATAGAACTTTTAAAGGAATGTATGTTTAGGTTTAACAAAACAATTATCTTTTTTTTTTCCTCTTGCCTATTCTTTAATGTTGGGGGTGAATTTTCTAGCGTTCCCCACTTTAGAGAATCGTGGTATTCAGTTTGAGTGTTTTGATCCGCAGCGTCTATTCAGTGAACCGTTAGACGTTTGCTTTGCATAAAAACTAAAACTCTTGCCGCGTTGTTTCCATGGACCCGCCATCATCAAATTGGTGAATGAATTAGTTATTTCCTTAAAGTCATTTTCATGATGAACATCAAAAACAAAGAACTAAGGTAACGTGCAGAGTCAGACGTCAGATTCTTACTCCTCGCTGGGTCGGTCCGTTCTAATACATTTAATTCATTTAGCAGGCGGGGCTTCTTGTAACGCAGAATTTCCTTCTTAAATAGAATGAGTCCAATTATTTTTAACCCTTCGCGTCATATTATTAGAGGAAGGAGCGTCAGAAGTAGAGACGGTCTGTGTAAGTCTGACGTCATCACTAACTGCTGCAGCAGAAAACTAATCTAGCGAAGATGTCGCTTCCCGGACATCTTCGCTAGATTTGCAGAGGGGGGAGACACGCAGTGACGCGCCAGCCCCTGAAGCCGTCTGC